TGCTATCTCAGATGCAGATTCCAGAAATGTTTTCTTATGTTGGAATGAAAGACACTAAGTACCGGATGAAGTGCTTCTTATTCTTACCCAAAAATGCAAAATGGAAGAAAGAGTTAAAACTGAATACAATAGGCCTATTGCTACTCAAGCTGTGTATGAACATTATATATATGTATATTATTTATTTGCTTCTTTTCCATTTTGCATTTACTTGTACTTTTACTTTCAATACTTAAGTACCTTTAAGATTGAAAAAATACTTTTCGTACTTAAGTACAATAAATATCACATACTTTAAGACTTTTACTCAAGTAATATTCTAAACGGTGACTTTAACTTCTACCAAAGTCATTTTCTGGTAAGATATCTGTGTACTTTTACTTGAGTAATGGCTTTCAGGTTCTTTATACACCACTGCTTAAAAGGTACCGAATTGAATTGGAATGAGCCAGTAGTAATACAGTAACCTACAAATCACAGCTCTTTCATTAGTCGAGATTTCTTCACTCTGATTGGCCAGGGAGCGTGACGTCACGCGACGTCACCGAACTCCGTCTAACTTTTTCATCTTGACAATAAGATCAGAGAGAAGCGTCGCATTACACCAACCGCGTTTCCACGAGAAAGCAGCCGAAAATGATTCGGTTCTGACAGACCGTCAAACATTGGATGTACGTTGATTTGGGTTGTCACTTGTTTTTTAATAGTTTGTTCTGAAAACATTGTTTCCGGAGGGTAAAAGAATCAACAAGTAGTTGGAAAAGTCGGGAAAACACGCCATCCTTTACAGGATGGATAAATCCACAACGATGAAAGTCATGGTAAGAAATCTCTCGGGTTTTGCTGGGGGTAGTTTGGTTAAACAGTGTATATTTTTCAGAGTATTGGATTATTTCATTGTTGGCTCACCATTATTCTGTATTTGTAGCAAACATGTAAATGAATTCCTTGTGTGATCGGTCATTACGCTTTGAATGTTACTAAGACATTTTCTATGATTATGCGTTGCTTTATCAGACTTTTCGATGCATATCAGGTGTATTTTATTCTAAATGTGCCCTTGGTTTTCTTTAACATCATTTCAGTAAATTCAGTCTTTTTTTAACAGTTTTAATTTGATGTGAAAGGCTTGTAGCCTATTATCACAAATATGAAAGTGGATAGTGATAATGAACATCGTCAAACTGAACTGGCCGCTGGTATTTTATTCTGGTTCAGCGTTCAGAAAGCTTAAATATTTACATAGTGTTATGTTTTTATATTGAGTTTTGATTTCATGACTAATATCAGAAAACCTTTAATACACACTTGATGGGTAATACAAGTCATGTGTAGTTTTGAGCGTCATTGTAGTAGTAAGGCTTGTAGACTGTCTCAAGTGATCTGCCTACCTAGGCAACATTTTTGGCTATTCAGTGCACCCAAGATATCAAAAAGTGTTGTCTAGGTAGGTTTTGAGACACAGCCATAATGTGTGGTGTTTCAAAAAAATAAAAAATAATGATAAACTACAGAGATTAAACAATATTGCTTTGATATGTTAGCTTTGTATAGGTTTTGGTACAGAGAACTGATATGCAACAGATTTTATTTTATTTTTCATTTCTGATTTTTGACACAATAATAACTAAATGATCATTAGGCTACAACAATAAAAATATGCATTATAAATATTTTATAATTAATAATAATTATATTGCTTATTATTAGAAATAGTAGTAATATTTTTATTTATTTCAAATTAATTGGAATTTATTTTCATTTATTTCAAATGCGTATTTGATAAGATGCATGATATTCACTTAAGAATCAATGGCTATTATTATTAAATAATCAACTTTTTTGAATACTGTTTTTGAGTGCTGTTTTTATAGGCCCACCAAATAGTGACATATTGGTTTGAACAGTGGAAGTATTGGTTAAAAATATCAGTTGAACCAATTATTGAAAATTTCAGCTAGTAAAGCAGTTCCCAGTCTTCTCTTCTCTTATGAACCTTGCCTTGTGAGAGTTTTCTAAGAGTAGTGCCAGTGTTAAGTTTATTCCACATTGAAAGAGCCATTCACTGCCCTTCTGTTGGTTTTTCCAGCTCTGCTTTGCCAAAAGTGGCACTATAAAAACGCTTCACCGACTGAATGCCGAGACTCGCCTTTAAAACTTTCCCTTGAGTTCAGAGCCACACTCGGCTCACACTGTGTATGTTTAACTTAAAATCACACCGTTCCCATAAAGCAGCATATTGAAAAACACAGGTTAGTTGTTGCATTGAACTTAAGTGTATTTTGTGTAAATGCATGTATTATGTATTTATATACTCGTATAAAGAAGCAATTGGCGCATTTAATCAGTAGTTAATTAGTAAATTAGATAATGAAATCATCAAAGGGAATGATGGCCATCTTAACTAGTAACCTTGACTGTTACCTCAACAGCCTCTCATTCTCATGAACCCTAGGTAAACTACCCTACTTTGAAGCCCATGTTTGTTTATTGAAATGACAGGGCAGAGATTGTTTGCAACGCGACTGTTTATGCATGCTGTAAACTTTGCTAAGTTATGGGTCTGCTCTGGTTGGCTGGTTACTAGATGAAGATAGCTCATCCTTGCCAGTCTGCATAGCTCAAACATTCCTGGGCCAGTGAGAGCAGATGGGGAGGGGGGTGGACGGAGGCGTACAGCTCCCACTGTAAACTTCCTGTCCACAAAGATGGCAGTGACAGGAATCAGATCTTTGTATACTTTTTCCACCCAGAGTCACAAACATTTTACATACAATTGAAGCAGGGGTCCCCGAACCCGAAGTCTTTCCACTTTCTTTCTGTTGTGCTTGGGATTTCTTAGGAACATAAAAAGATATATACTGTTTCTTTTCACTTTGTGCACAGATTTCTCTCTCCCTCTCTCCCCATCTTGACTTTTTTTTTTTTACCCTCTCACACTTCTTCGATGTTATCGGAGTATGCTCTCTAGGGTGTGGGCATGGACAGGAAGTGTGCATGGTATCTCTCCGAGCGGCTCTGAAATCTAAACAGGACATGTGCTATATACCTCGGGATCCACAAGAAAGACTCCAGAGCGGAGTCGACATCCCGCTGCTCGTTAGGAGCCTTATAAAGCCACTTTCCACCGTCAGATGTTTGTAGAATCCACATTTACGAGGAGACAGGAAGAGGGAAGACTGTATGTTGCAATTAAATGCAACGCTCATTATCAGAGTAATCAGAATGATGTGGATGTGGGGGAGCCTGTGTGTGTTTTGGAAATCGTACCATATCTGTCAGTCTATGCTGTAGATTACCCACAATCAACAAGGTCCAGAAGTGTTTATACTGAGATGAGAAGCACATTTATCCTGCACTCAAGCTTTACGGCTATTATATAAGGATGTTGTTATGTTGATGAGTAGTTGACATGAAATGCTTCAGGGAACTCGCCATTTTTTTCCCTTTTTTCTTTTATAATTAGTATGCATGGAGCTTACTAAAATATTTTTTGTATATATAAAAAATGTTTTTGTATATTTTATGTTTTTTGGTTTATATTAATTGAGATTATTTTTTGCACAATGATTTTAGGCTAAACTCATATTGATACAAGTAGTAGATGTGGTGCTGCTGCTTAAACTTTATTTGTCTCGAGGGAAATTTGTTTCACATGAAAGTAGAAATTAAATGCTTTAGGACATTGACTTTCATGCAATTTGACATGTCATCAGAATCATCAAAAATGATTTTAAAGAGCATTTTGCTAATTCTTTAATAATTGTTATACTTTTTACAAAATCTATTTTAAAAAATATATTATATTATATTTTAAAAATATAATATATTTTTGTTTATTTTATATTTTAGTTTTTGTATATTTAAAAAAATATTTTAAAATATTTAAGATTTTAAAAGTGCAAATATTCTGTAGTCTCTCAATTAATAAAAGCCAAATAAGTCAATAAGCCAATAAAATGGCTTATTGACCATTAATGACCGTTTATTGACAATTTAAAATTAATAAGTGAGGCAAAAACTTGTTTAAAAATGGTGAAATACTTGGTGGTTACGTGACCTAAGATATAGACATTCATATAAATGTTAACCTAAAACTTAATGTTAATAAAATCCATTTAAGTAGGGAGATCATACATTTTCGTGAGTCATAAAATCATGTGCAACATTTTCAGCTTATTCATCCTCCTTCTGACATTAAAGTCGTGTGGCTTTAAAAAGTTCAAGTAGTGGGAGACAAAATGAAATATTATCTGCAGTCAAAATGAAAGCACCTTGATAGCATGTGGGTTTGTGGTTAGGCTTGTTTCTTTTGCCATTTAGCTCTTCCCAGGAAAGGTGAGGCATCTGTCAGTGTTTCATTTATTTCTAAGGTGGCCACACCTTACAGGTCACTGCACCCAGATTCAGTGACTGAACGAGAGATGTGTTACATATATTACAATGTGCCTGCTATTCAGCTACCCTTCTATTCAACCCCCATTGACTCCAGTTAAAACGCTAATAGTGTGCATTTCTGTGTGTGTGTGTGTGTGTGTGTGCGCGCACGCATGTTTTTCTATTCCAGTGGGGACTTAAACCTGAATAATACACACCAACTCATGGGGACTCGTGTCACTGTGGGGACCTAAATTGAGGTCCCCATGGGGAAACAAGCTTATAAATCATAGAGAATTAGTTTTTTTTGAGAATGTAAAAATACAGAAAGTTTTCAGTGAGGGGTAGGTTTAGGTGTAGGGCGATAGAATATACAGTTTGTACAGTATAAAAACCATTACGCCTATGGAGAGTCCCCACAAGGATAGTAAACCAGACGTGCGTGTTCCTGTGTGTGTTCACATGTACCCCCTATCCAGTGTCTTCAAACAATAATTACCCATCAGTTTGACTTAAAATTGAACAGTCATTGGCCATCCTTCCTCCTTGAAAACAACACCCACTTGCTCTTTTATTCTTATGTTTTCTCCTCCCATGAATCCACAGGTGAATCACAGATTGGGTAACCTGCCACTGTGGCAAACACGCTTGAATTAGGGTGTGTGCTTGAGTGTAGGAAATTAGATGAGGGTGTTATGTCTCACTTAAGCGATGGATAGTGTCATTTTGTAGCTTGGTCACACCTTGTAGATGTTTTCCATGTGCATTTGCCGTGTGGATGGGAGTGTTCCTGTTAAATCTTATCTTGCTATTGATGTCAGGGAGCAAAGAGCAACTGTTTAGGTTTCTATAAATAGACTAATGCACTTAATGATAACACTATATTGATATTAGAGCCCGACCGATATATCGTTTAGCCGATATTATCGGCCGATATGAGCCTGTTGCCGATATATCGGTATCGGCGAATATGCCGCCGATATGAACTTTTTTTTTTTTACAGAACATATAACGCAGATTAAATGCTTCTGAATGGTGAAATTACTTAGTTTGTCCAGCAGAGCGCGCTCCATTGTTTGCTATTGGACCCAGGTCAGTGTAGTGTAGAGATGCGCAGATGAGCTCAAACTTCACCCGAGTCCGCTGCTTCAAATTATCTGCCCGTCACCCACCCGCACCTATATTTGATCGTCACATTACAATTATTCTAATTCATTGTTTTGCATGATGATATGATGGACGGAATCGCGGAATCCAGTCATAAAAACGGAATTTACTGTATAACGCGGAATTTCATGGCATTTGTCTTATTTTTGATGAATAAATAAAAAACAGGTCAGTACATATATGTGTATATATTATATATATATATATATATAAACTGTGTCTGTGAATATTAAACTGCAAAAAGACGATTTAAATACGAATGTCCTGCATGTTCATT